AATGCCAAGTTGAAGGGACAGTGCAAAAACTCGTCCAGACTAACATCATCCCATCCAAGATGCGGATCAAAACATAACGGCAACTCGTCAGAGGTAGGAACGCGGCCGTTACATATATGTCTGAACCAAAAATTCTAGTACTGAATATACTATTAGACAAGCTGTTTTTGACACTCAAGTGTTACCTGGAAGCAATCCATGTCGCACCGCGATTGACATGACGATATTCAGAGATGAAACGGGCGATGGGTTCTCGAAGGAACGTTGTATAAAAGTATCTTCGTGCCTTTTTAACCCCTAAAATTAGATAAACAAGCATTTGGTAAACAGCAGCTAAAAGTGTGTAACATCTCACCTTCTTTCTTATTTAACATACGATCTACACATCCGCTTACATGTAACTCAGTAAAGTCTGCATGCAACCCACACAACCAACCAGTTGAATAACGAGAGAACAGCCAAACCTGCAGAAGAGTTCGAAAAAGACAAGACTTGCAACTATTTAAGAAACTTTTCTTCTAGGCGTTCCGTTGCGCAGCGCTGGACTTGTAGACAAAATCGTCTCACTAGCAGATGGATCAGCTATGACTGTGAAAATAAGACACTTTTCAAATTCTAGTAAAGTACACTCGTGTTATGAAAAGCCAACGAAATTAGTGGAACATTTAATGAGTACGGAATGTTCCTGAGCTATGTTCACAAGTGCGGGAAATCTTCCATAACTGTTGTTTTCGAGCTTGTCATAAACTCTTCTTCTTTGGTGAAATGAAAGAGATGAAGTCGACATCAGAAGTGATTTTTTCAGAAGCATAAAAGAAGTGGGAATGACAACAAATAATTTGTAGTTGCAGAGAATGACGATTTACTAAACTGATCAATTTTGTTCTCATCATAACAGGTTAGAAAAGCCTAATACCCTGATGGTGATTTATGCTTCAGAAAATTCTAGTGACGTACAATAAATGGATTATCACAACCTTTTTGAATGTTGTCATAACTTTGCATGCTATAGTTTGATGAAATCAAGCAAGTGTCGTTCATTATTGGGTAAGATAATAACGATTCCAGCCAAATCATGACAGAAGAATGAAAAGGATAGGAATAGCAAGATGATAGATAGCAGTAGTACTTTCCAGAGGACAAAAAAAAAGGTGGCTTAGACAAGAGGTTGGAAACTGTAGATAACATTCGTTCTGGGCGATAAATGGATCCAATAAAAAAAAGCATCGGCTGAATTTTCAAAATAAGAGTACATTTCAAAAGGTGTGCCAACCTCGTTCGACTTATTCGGCCTGTTGCATATGCACCTCTTCTTGCCTTTCATGCATCGACATGGTTGATCAATCTTGAGATGTCGAACTAGAAATTTTTCAAAAGAAGTCCCAGCCGTCTTCTGTATGTGAACAAAAACGAGCACATCATTGGTGGCAATTGAAAAACTACAAAAAAAATCTTGAAGCACGACTATGGATCAAAAAAAGTGTAATAGTAGATCACCCTTGTTCCGGACTTTCCATGAGATGTGTGAACGAGGTGTCCCATGATAAATCGGTTTCAATGGGTGGTGCTGCTACAAGGTGATCGAGGGAAGGTAAATCGCTCCTGACGTCTCCGTGGAATATCAAATTGGTGCTGAATTCGATAAAGATAACAGCATGACGAAAGTGCAAAAAAAATCTAGTAGCAGTCACATTTGCAATTAAAGTAAACTTGTAAAATTTTAGTAATTTTATAATCTAAAAATTGCTCTCTTGTCTCAAGCATGAGTGAATCTAGAGACAGTCTCCTATTGGTCCTACTTAGCCACACTTGAGGTAACAGAGTCAATTCTAAACCATGAATACAACCAACACTGGTCTTTTACAAATACATGAGTTATTGATGAACCTGGATGAAGTGTAATCCGAGTACTGATACTGATTGGCTGACGATTCTGAAATCGGATTATTATAGAAGCAGTTTCCTCAAGTATTGAACGTATTGGTGCCTACCGATTATCAGATATACAGCAGGAGCAGACAAGACAACAAAAACAAATACGATCACTTTCCGCGTGAAGAATATACTGCTAACACGATTATCCTGACGTCTTAACATGACCGATGTAGTTGAAACTTTCGCCTGCCCATTTTTGTCTGATGTCGTAGAATGAGCTTAATTTTATTAGTTAAGTCTCTTGTATGATGAAAGGTAATTTACACTTATTAAAAGGACCATCGCTATGAATCAAGAAGTACTTTGAAAAATAATCAAGATCAAAGAAGAGAAATCCCTCGGTGAAGTTACGTACATTACGGTTGCACAGACGTCTAGATCGTATTAAAAGCAGCAATCAAAGACGCAGTGCATGTGTATGCTCTAACGATGGGTGTAGATGTCGAGCATGGCGGAGCGAAAACGCTTACAATTCTTCTAACGATATTTCAAAAAAAAAAGAGACATTTCAGGACAT